GGGGTGTGTCCCTTGCCTTTGCGTTCCTTTGCGTCGTACTTGCCGCCTCCTGTGACGGGATCTTGAGAGTTGAGAGCCTCTAGGGTATAACCGACCAAGTAGTAAATTCGGTTAACCCGTCGGATCTGCACGTGTATGGGAAAGCTTACTAGGTTGTAGGAACTGGCCAATATATTATCCAGTTATCACTACCAACACTAGATTCGCAATTCCCAACCTTCTCCGAGCTCGTACGGCCAATGTAGTTCCGGTTCTTGAGGGCAGGAAGGCACTTGCGTGTTATGGTGCAAATGAGGCTCTGTATTGATATTTAAGCCTATACCTGCCTGGATTTCTACCTTCTATGTCTTTCATCTGCTAAATCCCTTACCAGGCTCGGCTGCATGTCCCTTCTTCCCTTGACCCATCATCCCAGCTGTATTATCTTCAGATCCACCGGATCCATGACGTAATCATCATGGTCACCCTATTATGGGTACACTCATCCGGATCCATGTCGCTTGGATCCACTTCACTGTAATTGTACACTCGCCCTGGATCCGTGCTCTCCAATCGTCCAACATCATCTTGCAACCGTCTGTGACCTCCATTGTCCCACGAAAGTTCCAGATCCACTGCATCCCTCATCCCTGTACCCTGGATCCAGGTCCTTCTATGCGGGATCCTCCCTCCTTGGATCCGAACCCGGAAGTATGGGATCCGGGGTACCTCGCGGTGGATCCTGACTTCTCGTTAGCCGTGGCTACTAGATCCACCTTCGGATGGCACCTACCACCATTCCTTCATAGGATCCACACTCGATCCACTGGTACATAGTATATCCCATATCCACCTAAGTGAATCCAGGTAAGGGTGGATCCGAGATAAGTCTTGGTGGATCTTGCCTTCCCGTACATCGCTCATACCAGATCCATCGTCATTCCATACGGGGTGCCGCTCGTCATGGCTAATCCACCACAGGCAACTTGCACCCGTGCCAAACAATTGAAATTGTCACTGATTCGGGATAGTGACCCCGCGTCAGGCCCATTCTCTTATTTCTGAGAAAGCACTTCACCACATCCTTGCTCGAGAGTACCTGGCTGGCAACGGTATCATGAACCTGAACAAGTTCGAGGTTCTGCGCCTGGGTCCCTATAGCCCAATGCTGAACCCCATTGAAGGGTGCTGGAACTCCTTGAAGGCCAAGATGCGGCATTTTATGATGAAACGAAAGCACGAGTTTCTGGTGCGTGGAGAGTATGACTCCTTTACGGCGCACAGGTTACAGCTGATGAAAGACGCAGTGGAAGCGTGCAAGAATGTTATTACGCGCCGACTCATCTGGCGCTACGAAAGGCACTGCCTGCGGCATTGTTTCGCTGCCGAGAAGGGCTTCGACATGGAGCTGGGCGCGTGACTTCGAATTTGCATTTTGCTTGAAACGTGTACCCATCCGTTTTGCAAAAGTTGAAAAAAAAAATTTTTATGTTCACTTGAAGTATCCCTGTCTCTTATCGTTTGCAACTTGCTTGGTAACTATAGTAATTTGGCCGGGAAATGGTGTACATGTACTGTATGTACACCATTTCCCGGTTAAGTTATCGTGCAAATGGCCCGTTCTTGTGAGATCTAATTTAAGGCTGTGTGGAGACACACCATTTTTAATTTTAGGCTACGGCATTTGGCGATTTGCAGGAAAAAGCCACTTTTCCCACGACTTGCATTTCTGCCCATCACACTTTTCAAGCAGGTTGCAAACCTGGTCAAATACATAGAACCTACGTTACCGCATGTTCTAACGCTTCAAGGGTACCCCTTATTCAGAGAAGAAAAAAAAGCACAAACAAAGCCAAACAGCGACTACTGCATTCACAGTACCGTATTAACATCATTTAAGTTGTCCTAGAATAAAAAATGTTTTGGAGGGATTCATTTCTTGAAGCAGCATGAGCCGTGCCCTTTGATGCGGTAACGTAGGCTCTATGTATTTGACCAGGTTTGCAACCTGCTTGAAAAGTACATGTTGCATCTTAAATGATCACGAAGTTCGTGTGCAACAACAGCGCCCCTGTCCTATAATAAGCGAGGTTTTGTCCTAAGCGAACTTCGATTATGACCAATGGCAGCGCTTATTTAAAACAGATAGGTACACGTTAATGTGTCCTTCCGCGAGCTAATTATAGGAGAGGTCGATAACGAGGCAATAGGAAGAGCGACAGCGTACAAATAGGTAGAGCTGCTCGACCGAAATGCTATTAATAACTCTCACCGGTGGACCACTTTGGATTTAATGGAGGCAGGTCATTCATATTCAACGGGGTGAGCTTGGGGTAATTTTTAGTTTTTTAAACTACTTTAAGTAAGTATGAGATTTGCTAGTAATCTTACCCGTAAACGTCGAACATGGGGACAGGGGCGATGTGATACCGGTATTGTGCATGAAACATGTACATTACCGGTAGCCCCTGGTGTGGGTGAGCGTTTACGGATGGGCAAATGTTTACGGGGCGATTTTTTTATCGTAAACAGTGTTGGTACATACACGCTCCGTACAGTTTTGCACCGTACACTTCGAGCGAAAATTGTGCACGGTGCCACTTTGCAATTCTACAGCCCAGCGTCAGTGACCGAATCCTTCCATAGCTATGATGCATCTCTTCTCAGTGGCACTTTTAGTTGCTGTTGTTCTCCTGGCAAATGCTGAGAGGGTCACCTCTTTTCAGCTAACTGCAAAGCGCTCCCTCGTTAGCCTCCAAAACGACAACAGTCCTCACAGACTGTTGAGACGTTTCGACGAAGAGAGAGCTGTCGGCGCCGTCGCGGAGCTGGCAACCAAGCTCAAAGACGGCGCGTCGAAGCTTGCCGATAAACTGGTTAAAAGCAAGAAATACGAGGCTCAAGTGGCAGCCCAATTAAAAACCACGCGCATCGTGGACACCGCAGATCTAGTACAAGTGCTTAAGCAAGTCGAGCAGGTCAACGACAAGAACATATTCAACAAAGTATCGGTGATTGGGACACTCACCACCCGCTATGGAGATGACGCACTGGCGAAAGCGCTCCTAACTGCCGAGAAGGAAGCGCCAAATGCTAAATTTGCAAGTCAAATCCAAATGGTGCGAAAGGAGCAACTGACGAGGTGGCGAAGAGGCGGCAACTCCGCTGACGATGTTTTCAAGCTACTCAAGATTAAAGGTGACGACTACAGCATGGTTATGAGTCGAAAGCTGGATGTTCTGGAAGACTACGTCAAGCTCATCAACACTAAAAAAAAGAAGACCGATCAGGTTTCTCTGCTCAGCACATTAATTAAGGGATTTGGTGGCGAGGCCAAGCTGGGGGCGCTTCTGCAGACTTCAAAGACCCATTCCCGTACGAAGATCAAGGCCAAGGAAATGGAGGCTTCTCTACTCCGTAAATGGGCTGGTGAAAGTCAATCGCCGACAAATGTATTCCATTGGCTAAAACTTTACGACAACGTGGATACTGCTTTCACGGCCGATAACTTGGTCAGATTCGCGAAATACGTCGACGATTTTAGCCTAAAGGAGCCCAAATACGCAAAGTCGGTGCTTGAAATCTACGGGAGCCGTTTTCAAGACGCTGATTTGGCGATTAAGCTCGTAGCGGCGCTGGATGACCCGGCGACCAGAGCTGTCGCGCAGAAATTACAGACCCCGGGTTGGAGATCTGTTGACGATATAGTTGCGAAACTGAACATTCAAAAGAATCAAGATGCAGAGCTTACCAGCCAGAAGTTGGACGCGTTGGTAAAGTTCATTGGGTTAAAGGGTGGAGAACGGAACTTGATCAGTACGTTGAACCAAACATTTGGTAGTAGGCGTGAGCTTGCGTCGATTTTGAATAGTGCAAGTACGACTGCGGAAGCTACAACATTGCAGAGGAAGCAGTTCTCCACGTGGATAGCAAAAGATATCAGTCCGGAGAACGTTATGACCCGTATATTTAAAAAGGGTGCTAACGCAGCTTCGGACGAGGAGAAAGTGATTGTGGCCAAGTTCAAGGCATTCTACCGTAGTCAGCTACGCGGGTGATTGAGCGAGCGAGAAGAGCTTTAAAGGAAGCCTGTGTTCTTGCTGGTTTTATAGAAAGTCACGGAGTTGTCGATCCCGGATTTACTTTTTCTACTTAAATGGATAGAGAAACGAAATTCACATGCAGCTTATCCACTCATTTCAGCGTTTTCAGTCACATGTATTAATATGTGCTGAGCATTATTATGCATTTTAACGCTTTTGTCCTTTTCACTTAGTCCGATGCTCGATTAATAAATAAAGGTCCTTTTATTAAATTGGGGTCTATTGCCACGAAAGTAGCGAGGAAGCGTAGGAGCGTGACGGCGAGTACGGCGCCGTAGACAGTTGGCGGCTGCAAGCTAGTAGCTGCCGCACAACCAGTAGTTCTTGACAACCGGATATTCACGCACGTATCCAGGTCCATCCTAAAACCTATCTTTCTCAAATCCTGATTTTCTCTGTAACTACCAATGAAAGCCTATGTATCCTAATTCTTATCTTGGTCGGAAATTTCGCACAGCGTCCCATAATTACAATTTCCGGCTGGAAGCTTGATTGTTGCAAATCCATGAGATTTTGGACCAATAGGATTGTAGTATGATGTAAAGACACGCAATTCTTAAGTTTACGCTGATCAGAATAATCTGACCAGCTGAACTCAAATAATTGACGTGGCTGGTCACTGCCATGCCATTGGCTAGTGACCACCACGTCACATCTATAAAAGGTACAAATTGATCTAGCCGACATGTTTCCGACAGTTCGGATCCGCCAATCAGATCATGACGGTGTACTCAGATTAAGTACGTTTACACTAAGTACGGTCGCTTTTATAAGTAAGACCATCAGCTGACCCTTTGGAAAGGGAGTTCGAAGGCGCAAGCAAATCCTCTTAAAGGAGGCCCTGTAGGCCGAGAACACTCATTTTTTTGTTTAGGGGGCATTTATAGGCTTCACCACCACCTGTCCTCAACCAGCCAGCATATCCATGAATGAGACCCCGAAGCCCAGGGTGAGGGCCCCCTATTAGAGGTTATTTTAAAATAATGACATAAACGCCAAAATAGTGACCTCATTGTCGTAGCCCAGTCATTTGGATTAACCTCATTCCAGGTTTTTGCTCAGCCCAATAACCCAACGTCCACTTATTAACCCTTGCCTAGGTCTTTTTTTTTGCCAATCATGCAGCGCCACAAATTACCGACAGGGGCCTTGTGGTCTCAGTCTTCTTTTTCCAGAGCCACCCCAGCAGATCTCCCGTAGCAAAGGACCAGTCCAGAGCACAGTATGCCATTGCGCACACGAATATCGCCGGCACTGCTGGTGCAGCGCTCGAATGGTAACGAGTGGGGGGTCCAATTCCCTGCTGTCGGCTTATGATGTTTGCGAAGAGTTGCAATTCATTAACATCTACTCACTTGTCTTACACATGTCCTACGAATTGAAGTATGTCTTGGGTTGATGTAGGCGCAGGATCAGCAATTTTGTTTGAGGTGAGGTGTGTACGGTACGTCGTGATACGGCCGTCGAGGGCTCCTAAGCGATGAAGTTTGCGCATCTCACGCAGTACGCTACCGCTGCCCTTTGCTCGGATCCCTTGTCCACTCAGGAAGCCGAGGACCGCCGATTCTGCACGTTGGCCGACCTCGAGAGCGCGATCCTTTTAGTCCTCCGATCTCTCGTGAAGCTGGAACCCGCCCTCCAGGAAAAGCTTCATGTACGCGACGATCAAGCGGTAATCTGACTTCTTTTGTCGGTCGTTAGAGCTCCAGACGCGAGGCTGCCGTGTGTACCACTCGAACCAGATCGATGACAGGTTGGTAGTCGCTTTCTTTCTGCGTTTCGCTGCAGGTGTTTGAGCTGACGAAACTTGCTCCTGCTCTGTAGTTTGGGCTGGCTCTTCGTGCGCAGGTCGCTTAAGGATGGCAGCCTCTAGCACCAGCAGGCGTGCAGACAACAGCCTATTGCTTTCGATAAGCTCATTAATGACAGCAGCGTGATGACACTCCGTTCGATTGCAGCCGTTCTTTTCAGTGTCCTTCCTTTGTTGAGCAGGTTTGGAGGCGACATGGCTCAGCGCGACCGACCACGCCAGCAAGTCGGTGTGGGAGATGTCAGCTGCTTCCAAGCATTCTTCCACTCGAACAACGAACAAGCTCCTGGGTTCGAGAGTCTTCACTTCCGGGAAATGCCTTATTAGGTAGGCGGTAAGGACCCCAATTACCTTGCGACTCACGTTTAGCTTGTTGTTCTTCAGCCCTACACAGGAAGCGAACAGAAACTCCTGCAACCGGGTCATGCGCTCCTGAGCCCCATGGTCGAGAATGGCAACATCAAGAATCATCGGTGCCTCGTCCGCAGCCCACCCGCTCAAGACCCGTGCTACTTTACGGTCCTCGCGTGGCGTGTTGAATACGTAGGCGAATCCTTTGTTGGTGCGCGTCATGTCCCATGACCCACGATCAAAGATCCACTGTGCAGCCAGCCGCTCGTCCCCGTTTGCATGCTGCGCCCCGCCCCGCCTGAAGGAGTGCGAGGTCAAGTTGGCTGAGGCTCCTGCCGGCTCCGACACCCGCTTCAGGAACCGGTTCACATACGCTTGAACCCCGTCGTCACCGCGAGCTTGGTTGGTCGCTGAAGGGTTGGCTGCAGCGGAGCTCGGGACGCTTCGCAGAGTGGCAGCCACCGGGTCAGTCATCCCTGCTGCAGGAAGCTGCGAAGAGGTGGCAGCATTGACCGAAGGTACTCGTAGTACATCGAGAAGGGGTGCTGCTGCATCAAGTGAGGGTGTAGACGGTGTCACAAGAGAAGGAAGCTGGCTTAGCAGGGACACACAAGGCGACTCCTGCATCACCAAGGCTACTGCGAGCGTGTGCAGCGGGCAGGTCACAAAATCCGCCCGATCAGGTACGAGCGTGAGGCCTTGCTCCTCAGCTGTTTTCATTCGTAGCATCCGAATGTAGAAAACGTTGTCAGCTGACATTGTAATGTGCTGCTTTGTGACGTAGCCGAGCTCTGATGAACGGCCGAAGCAATGCCACATAAGGCACGCAAGCGCTGCATCTTCGTAATCCGAGGCGACGGATGCTGTTTTGTACACATAGCATATTAGTGAGCGCAAATCCGCCTTTGTACAAGGTGGTGCCTTGTTAGTAAATCCTCCATTATCACGTTTTAAGCAGTGTTTTTCGAGAGTCTTCCCTCGTTTAAGCAAAATTAGCTCGGTTGGTACTCTAAGATGAGGATACTCATCGAAAAACCAAAGCTTCACGTTTCTAAAGTAAGAAATGGCGGTGTTGGGCGCCAACTTACCTTTCTTACCTTCGCATGTGGCGAGATAGTAGCCAAAACGATCCATCACGGCCGCTAAGCTCTTTCCAGAGCTGTCACTGAAAATGCATGCTCGGACAACGTCCATGGATACATCCTCGACTTTAAGCATACGCTCGAACGCGCCTATTCCGGTAGTACGCGCTTTTTGCGTGTTTGTAGGGATAAGTGCGGAGAGGCTCATGCTGGTTGCTGCTTGTCTTTTCTGCTTTTTGTTAACTGGACTTGGCTGGTTGAGTGTACCTTAACACTACTGCTCAATTTTAACCTAAAGTAGGAGGTATACCGCATTGTCGGAACCACAAAAATATTGACATATATCTTACACGACTTAAATTCAGTATTGGTTTCAAAATAGTTAGCTCTAGCTTCCGACAAATATTTGTCAGAAAGTGTCGGAATGAAGAGCCTGCTCCTGTGCGACCTAATTGGCTGAATTAAGGTACATTGTAGTATATGATTGGATATTAATCACATATTCACAATCTTGCCTTTGTGTCTGTCGGAAAGACGTGTATATTCATCCATATCATAACGACTCCGACCAGCCGAGCACCTTCCGACTCTGATCCGACGTATCGCAAAACTTTATATATCGTACTTAATACCTAAATTTGGAGGTTTCGTAAAAGCGCGCTAATTGTTTCATTGAGCGTAATTACTCCTCGTAAATGAGTGGCGCCGGTGCAATATTGACTGCGCCATTTTGCCCTGCAAGCTCAGTGCTCGATTGACCACCTGGAACGGTGAATTGGGGGGGGCGTACCGCGCATCGGTACACCTAAGAGGGTATGTCGCGGCCACAAAGAACAGTGGATCACCGTTAATTCCCCGTCGAGCACCCAGATGAGTATCCCTGTGCTGTTGTTGTCTAACCCCCACCGATGTAGCTCAATGGTAGAGCTCCCGGAAGGGAAGGAGGTGGTTCAAATCCACCCATTGGTAAAAATTTTATGCTCGAATGCCTTGCAGGTCTCTACATGATTGATATGATATAAGAACCAGCTACAAGGACACAGAGAGATTGGATTGTGTTACGGGAGCAGCTTGAGCATGCTTTGGTGCTGTGTTGGTGTAGGGTCTACAACTCTGCCGATGGTAAAACGCTGATGGTAGGCACTGATGAGACTATTCAGCTTGCCTTCGCGGTGCATCTGCCGAAGAACCTTAAGCACAGCGTTGGATCTCTTTGACGGTACGCCCTGCTCGCCTAGGAACACTGTGACTTTGTTTGACGCTAACTCTCCGAGCTGACGTACTGTATCTTTGTAGCTGGATGATAACTCGTCGAGCGCGTACCCGTCTTCGATGAAGAGCCTCATGAAGGCCACGAGCTGCTTGAAATCCGATTTCTTGTGCTTATTAGTACTCTGCCATCCACGCGGAACAGCCGTGTACCACGCAAACCACGTGTCAACAAGCGGTATTGTCTTGGATCGACGGCGACGCTTTACTGGTACGATTTTATCTTCGTCTCTTACTCGCTTGACTTGATTATCTCGTGCTAAAGTTTCCCCTTCGGTGTTGTTCATTGCAGCTTCTAGCGGGTTAACTCGAGCTTCAAGGCTACGGTTGACCTCAACTAACCTTTCAATCAAGGCAGTTTGATAATTCAACGCAGCGTTGGCCTTTACATTTTCTTCAGTCATGGCTTCGGCGGTGGTGTTGGCGTGTTCATTTGACGCTGT